TTCCTGTAGTCAGCCGCTGGTCAGTTTCAGCAGCGGCTGAATCTGGACGCCAGTTCCGACTTACATACAAATTCAACTTAACAACAAACCTACAGTCCTCCCGGCAGCACCCCAGCTGCTCTGCCCCAGGCGTCCCCAAGTTAGCCACTGCTGAAACTGACCAGCGGCTGAATCTGGACGCCAGTTCCGACTTACATACAAATTCAACTTAAGAACAAACCTACAGTCCTTATCTTGTACATAACCCGGGGACTGCCAGTATTAGCTTCAGTGAAAGAAGGTGTGGGTTCTTGGTGTTTGTGAAGAGCTGAGACACAGAGATCCCTAAATGTAAGGTGCTATTCTACAGGCATGCTAAATACTATAGAAGCATAGACTAGGAAATTATCCAGAGAAATTACAATGACAAACCCTTACCTTGAACTTTTTTAAAAACCCTCGAACTCATGAACTTCAAAAACCTGTCTGCATAAAAACTTGGTCTGTGGACTGAAACAGTGTCCTAAAAAAAAGACAGAAAAGGCCTTAAAGTTATACTCTTCAAATACAATTCTAAATGAAATATCCAAGAGAAAAACCTGACACTGGGTGAATAATACCATATCCTATTTGGGAATTCATACAAGGAGATCCAGATTTTGCATGCATAATTACTAGATTTCACTGTAATCTTGATAAAATACTAGTATATTTTAAGTATTCAAAACAACTTAGAAGTGCCTCTTTATAATTTATCTTACTATTATAGAAATGTGCATGTCTGTCTATCCATCCATGAATCCATTAGTTTAAGAACTCCTCCTAAACTTTAAGAGCTAGGACCACCAAATTTGGTCTTCCTCTTATCATACAGCTTCCTCTAATCATAAGATTGTACAGAATGACCACGGGAGGGCAGTAAGGGGCCAGAGATCGGGACCAGGGCAGCTATAACCTCACTGGGCCAGCAGTTGGTAGGGATGGAGAAAGGGACAGCTATCACCTATATACTTCACCGAGTTTGTGCGTCCGCGTGCAATGTCCACTGTAGTGGCCATGGACAGGTGTTTCTCACCTGGCCCCAAGTTGCTTAGGTGAGAGGGCTGGGGTTGTCTTTTCTCCCCAGGGCAGCCTGCATACTGAACCCCTCATCTCCACCCCACCCCAGAATAATGATTTAAATGTAGAAACACAAAACTGATTTCAGCTAAGGACTTGAGTAACACCAGGTAAATCGTCTAGTTCTAGTCATATTCTTTAAAAAGTCTTACTCTATTTAAAAAGGAGTCACTTCCCTTTTGGGGTCAAAATCTCAACTGAAGGCTCAGACTTCAAACATAGGTGCCCTAACAGATGACCAAATTCCTTATCTGAATCCTTTAATCCAACCCTAATGGGCACTTAAAATGGTCGAGTTCCTAAGGGCCTATTTCAGCACTGAACACCCTGGAGTTAAATTCTGCTCTGCACAACATCCTTTGCAGCTGGACTGATGATGATTCGTATTCGGGGCACAATTAGGAGTAGCTAATCAACTTTAAATTAGCCGTTTTACTTAACTGTTGAAATAACATTTGGAATGGATTACTTCATCCCTGCGTCAGCTGTCCTGTGAGGAGAGTTTGCTGTAACCTGGCTCAATGTAATCACAAGGATGATCTGATCACCTTTACTGTTTTTATCCTTTATTTAAAAATATTCAGCAAAATAAGATGAACGTGTATGTCGGAAACCACACAACTAAAAGCACTAAGGAAACTGCCCGGTTCACAGTGATGGGTGGACTGTAAATATAACAGTTCACTCTCGGTTTCAGACAAGAATCAGAATTCCATCCTGAAAAATGCTGATAATTTAAAAAGCAACTTACCCCATCATAAACAAGTGCTTTCCAGGAATGTTCTAGCTTCTTCATTAGCCTAAGCAATTAAATCAAAACAACATTGTGACATTCTCTCCCCTTGCAGCAATCTCAGAATACTTTATTAAGATAATGGCTTTAAATGTGGCAAAATATGTCCATTCTAAACTGCCACTTACCTGTAAGACTGTAGGATATCAATAATACCCATAAATAGAAGCAGCTTTTCTCCTTTATGGCTTTTAGCTGGAATGCCTCCCATTCTAATGGCAACAAAAATAATTTTATTAGATGATGTATTTTAGAGACCTTTTTAATGTCACTATATAGAAGGAGAACTGCATAAAAAAAAATCAGTAACATTAATGGAGGACAGCTGGGCTCTAGCTGCCTGTCAGTTTCACAGTGAACAACAGCTTGCATAAGGAATGCGGAGTCTGCGGAGTCCTATGGCGTCCAACCAGTTCTGAAGCAGTAGCCTCTATAGCGGCTACTGCTATAGTGAACTAGACACACACAACCAGTCAAATAGCCACATGTGGCTAGCATGTTGGACACCACGGGTGTAGACGCTGCATTGCTCTAACCACAGGCGCTGACTGGAGGACATATGTTAAAAAAGTTAGCGGGTGGTGAGCACTCCCTGGCAGTCAGCTTCTCTCTTGGTCCTCCCCCCACTCCAAGCGCCTCCTGCTCACCCGCCAACTCCTCTCCCTCTCAGTGCCTCTCACCTGCTGCGATCAGCTGCTCTGCAGCATGCAGGAGGTGCTGATAAGGGGGAAGACTGTGGATGGGGTACGCTTGCGGAAGGTGGGGGGAACTGGATGGGAAGAGGCAGGATGGTGTCTGGGGAGGAGTAAGGGTGGAAAGAGGTGGGGCAGCATGGGGGTTTTGTGGGAATGAATAGAGTAGGGTGGGGACCTGGGGCTGAGTACTTACAGGGAAAAGGAGGAAGCCTGCACCTGTGGCCTTAACGACACTAACATAAGCCCTACACTTCTCATTGAGGTGGTTTTATAATGGCAGCACAGCAAAGGAATTACATGAGCAGGTTGAGCTTATGACTGTTTGGTTGACAAAAGAGGACATTTGTGAACAAAGCCACGTAGTGAAGACAATGCCTTGGGAAGTCTATGTTCTATTGACTTTCAATGGGGCTTAGGTTTCCAACTCTCCTCAGCTCTTTTTACTCAACATCCCTACTTGTGTAAATAATGAAATAGGATTTTGGATGACCGAAAGGAGGTCAGAGCCTTAGCTTTAAGACTAATTGAAAACAGAACACTTCCAACAATACAATGCCCACCATGCTGGAGCACTGATTGGGTATAATTCAGGTCATCTTGTATGCAAATAAGTGTAATATTGTAATCCACACTGGGCACAATTCAGCTCTGCCTTAACTTCTATTCTAGTGTTTCAAACATTTAAAGATTATTATTATTAATAATAATGCCTAGCACTTTTAGTCAGAAGATTTAAATGTGCTTTGTAAAGGAGGTCAGTATTATCTCCAATTTCAAACGGGGAAACTGAGGAATTGTAAGGTAAAGTGACATGTCCAGCCAACCCACTGGCGAAGCTGGGAACAGAACAGAATTCTATCATTAGTCTACTATAAGCTTAAACCCATGCTTTGAAGACATTAATGTATTTACTTACCTAACTCCCTGGTTAATTGACAGTAAACCCTTTTCAATGTGAAATTAAATATTTTATAGTCAAGAGTTGCTTACACAGGGTAAGAATTCTGACTAACTTTTATTAGCACTGAACATGCACAAGGATAGAATAATTTGAGGAGCCCTTGGTTCTTGGAATTACAATAGTTGGAATTACAGAAAGGGATGAAAAAAATTGTTTTCATGATCTGTCACAACCTTAAAATTCTCTGCATGTCACAGTCTGTTGTCAGACCCAAGGTGATCCAAGTATTGTCTTGTGATACAAAGCAGAGGTATTGATTAACATAGTTAAGAATTCCATGGCATTGTTTGTAAGCTTCGGAGTCTTCACATCAGTTTAATGGCTGAATTCCAGCCTAAATAATTACAGTGTGATGATCTAAAATTCCTCTGAAGTTTCATTTAGATAGGAAGAGGAGAGTATGTTCTAAACTGTAGTGTAGCGTCTGTGTAAGCTGTTAGTGTCTGTCTTCGTTCCCCCACAGCACAATTGAAGCAATTCCTGTGTATATAATGAGCACATTTCTTTAGGATGATAGGCACTGCAGAAATATCAATATAATCAATATCAATAATAGCTTTTGCTCACAGCGCATGACGCTGTTTACACATTTGATGTGACGGTCTTGTAATGACTTTCATTATATATCTGTTGCAAGTGATTTCACTACGTGCAGATAAATTGTTCTGAATTATAACTGCAATTGCTATCATGTATTTAAAGATGATGAAGAAACTAATCAATGTTTTCATTTCCTAGTCTCCAGTGAACGTTGGTGATGTAACTTTTGAAAATACTTTTGACTGAAGGATTTAGTTTAATCCTTCAGTCACTCATCTGCAGTGCCTTCCTGATGGGAAGCTAGCCAGTGTTACATTTAATACAACATAGAATGCAGTTTGCAGAAATAAAATTTAGACATTCCCATTTTTAAACAGATATTAGGGACTTACGTATTTGTAGCTTCTGTGACGACAGATTCCCCAGATTTTCCAGGACCCTGTATGGATTCCATGGCTGTCGAATAGAGAACTTTCTGTCCCCCAGGACGTTTCGCATCTGATGCATTCTGGGAACTCTCTCCATCCCTCTCTTTTGTGATACTGTCCAACATATGGATTCCCAGTAGCAGACTATAATCCATGATTTTAAAGCTTTCCAGCACCTAGTAATGAAGGATTATGTGTACTGTAACACAAAGATTACTGGTGCAGAATTCAACCAATTGAGAAAACCCAAAGGGAAAAAACAATGGGTTTGACTAAGATAGTTTGCAGAAAGATCAACAAAAGTAATATTTTTGTACTAGCCTTGCACCTTCTGTCAGAGATTCCCAAAATCAATTTACAAATGTTAACAAGCTAACCATCACAACCACCTCTTTAAAAGCTGGAAAAACTAAATTATATGGAAATGTAAGGCCTAATGCAGTATTTTCAATTGGGGAATTGTCCCATGTCATTTGTAGTGAGGGAGCAGTTAATTAGTGACCTTGAATTCAGCTGTGCTATATATCATTTTTATTTGGTGCACTTATGGATATTCTGCTACACACACACCCACATCCCCCCACACCATATGCAAACCCAATACTGGGGAAAAAAAAATTCTTCAAAGGGCAGATTTTCAAAAAAAGGGCAATAAAGATGCCCTATTCCCATGAAAAGTCAATGGATTTAGGTGTCTACCATTTGTGCCTGTGACTCTAACAGGCACCAACAAAACATTTTATTCAACTATGACTTCAGTTAAACTATGACTTTTTGTTGTAAAATTTTTTTTCCTTGGTCCTACTAATCACTTTGACACGCTGACCTTGACAGGTTCCATTTCCCCCCTTCATGCAATTACGTACAATAAAACTCCAATAGTTCAGCATCCAATTGTCTGGCACTCCCGATAGTTTGGCATCAAAATGGCAAGAGCCTAGTCCAGGAGTGGCCAACCCGAGGCTCCTGATGGAAAAAAATTGTGGCTCCTGACAGAACAGAGATGGAACCCGGAACTACTCGGGTCAGCTGCTCTCATGGCTGGGCTGCTGTGAGCCGCATGCTCTCTCATGGCCCCCAGTGAACTGCATCGTACCTGCACGTGCACGCCGGGTCGCACACAGCATCCCAGCCTGCACGTGCTAGGAGGGGAAGATGATCTCTTGTGAGTTTCAGCAGCAGCCTGTCACCTGCGGATCTACCCGTTCCCACCGCCCTCCTCCCCCTTAGGCAGTAGAGAGGAAAGGTAGATTGCGAGCCTGTTGCTGGGGCAGTGTAATTGATTAGAACTTCTTGAAAACAGCTGCCTGCCTTTCCCTCCCTCTCTGGTTCTGCCGCTTGCAGGCTTTGCCTCCCTGCAGCAGGAGGGAGGGTTTGGCACACCCCCGCCCACTCCCCCGCCGACCACTACTTTCCTCTGTCCCCCCTCCTCCAGGCAGTAGAGAGGAAAGGTAAATTGAGAGCCTGTCGGCTGTGGATCTAGCCTGGGGCAGTGAAATTGACTAGAACTTCCCGAACGCGGCTGCCTGCCTCTTGCCCACTCTCCGGTTCTGCCCCTTGCAGGCTTTGCCTCTCTGCAACAGGAGGAAGGGTTCAGCACCCCCCCGCCGACCCCTACCCTCTCCTGCCCACGCCCCTCCTCCGGGCAGTAGAGAGGAAAGGTAGATTGAGAGCCTGTCGGCTGTGGATCTAGCCTGGGGCACCGTAATTGACTAGAACTTCCCGAACGTGGCTGCCTGCCTCTTGCCCACTCTCTGGTTCTGCCCCTTGCAGGCTTTGCCTCTCTGCAACAGGAGGAAGGGTTCAGCACCCCCTGCCCGCCGACCTCCTACCCTCTCTCCGCCCCAGGCAGTAGAGTGGAAAGGTAGATTGAGAGCCTGTTGATCCAGCGGTGGCAGTGTAATTGACTAGAACTTCTTGAAGCGGCTGCCTGCCTCTCTCTGCTTCGGGTTCGGCCCTTGCGGCGCTGTTCCCCTCCGACGAGACCCGCCCCTGCCAGAGTACCTCCTGATAGTCCGGCATTTCTGATAATCCGGCACCACCTGCGTCCCAAAGGTGCCGGATTATCGGAAGTCTACTGTAAATACTAATCTCAGTTGCACCAGTATGTATCCAGAGGGACTCCAGTAAAAGAAAAAAATCTCTCTCTCTAGATAGAATTAACTGTCCTTCAGTCCCCCTTTTACATTTTAGTACTATATCAGAATCCCCAGCAGACAAGTATTGTATCTAACACCTTGTATGAAAGCCCTTTTTGGCACAGGGAGAGTAGAGTCACCTATTTAATTTTCTACTAGCTTAAAGAGAAATATGGAGCAATGTGTCCTTTTCTTCATGCAGCTCATAAATGATTTAACATACATTTTGGTACAAGATGCCTTATGGATAATGTTGTAATCCTTGGCACTGAACTGCAAAATTTTAACGTTGTTTTACTAGGAACAAGAACAATCTGATTTTACAGAGACAATAAATGAAGCATGGTAATTCAAGGTGTGCTAGTTCAGTTAGGCCTATCAGAGCAGAAATGTTTTACACAAAACACAAGGTTAACTTATGAAGCCTAATGTACATATTTGGAAAAACATAGCCAGGGGTTATACAGTAGGGGAGAGAGTTTCACCACCTATGAAAACATTTATCTTACCAACCACTGACTTCAGGTATGGATGTAGGTAGGCTGTTTTAGTCAATATGCACATTTCTGAAGTGATCTTCACTGTAGTAACTAGCAGGCATATATACACAATATCAGCATCCTTTCTAATCCCTTTTCTGTAACTCTTGCATTTCATGTTGCTTTCCTGAATTAGCTCACTTTTGGTGGTTGTCTACCATGAGAAGTATCAAGGCCTCTTTGTTAATGTGGGAAAGCCTGGACAAAAAAATCTTGCATTGTACCCTAACTGCAGCGAGATCAGCTTTCACGCTGATATCTGGGGGCAACACATAAAATAACTGAACAAGTTAGCCAAATAAACTGAGAAAAGGTGAACACAACATACACATGCTGCAGAATTCTTTCAGTTTTTGTTAATATCTCATTTCTTTTCTGGATGTGTTTTATTGATTCTGAAATTAGCAATATCACCAAAGTCCCCCTGAAATCCCAAAACGTAGAGCCTTGAACTGCTGATTTTCAACAGACTTTGGATAATGAGAAGAATATAACTGTTAATACTAATAAAAATACTTGACCAGATTTTGATCTCAATACATCACACTAGGAGAAATGGCAGGTTACTTTGCATTTCAAATGAGATCAAAATCTGGCCCATAGAAACAATAATTGACCACTACAGAAGCACCCCATGCACGCTACAGTAGCAGTTAGGCAAAGGAGAGTGAGACACAAAATGTATGGGCCACAAAATAAAGCAAAATTGGCCATACTAACATCTGTATCCCAGGTACTCCATAACACTGCAAAAGACCCTCAGATGCCATCTGAGCTGCAGCATTTGGGCACAACAGATTGAATTAATGCTGTAAGAAAATAATGCCTGGATCTGAGGTTCTTCTGGGAAAGCAGCTCTTTGTCCTTAACACTGTATTTCCTTGCTTTAGTAGGTTTAAGTCAGACCATTAATGTAGCTCTTTTCAAATTGAATTTCATCAGTAAAGTTCACAATGTTCTTTGCTAACGTAATAAAAGAAAAATACAGACTCTAACAAGCAATACAGCTCTTACTAGTTAAAAAAAAATAGAAATGATTGTCCTGTTCTTAAAAACACATGATCAATTATATTAACTGTTGTTGCTTCTGTAATAGCTATTTTGAATTTCTAGTATCAATGAGCTAATTACTCTAATGCTATTAATTATGAAACTTACAAAGAGACTACACTACTATCTTTGTGTTTAAAGATTCCACTTATAAATAAAGCATAAAGAATGTTGCCTAACAAACTTGTCTCTTACTTGTTTTCCTGATTCACTGATTCCAGAGAAAGAATGATTTCTTAACACAATGTTGCAAGTGTATTCAGAAAAGGGGAAAAATGAATTCAATTATATGTTAAAAAAAAATTTGGACCAAATTTAGCCTTGGAATAGGTTGGCCTAACTTCCACTGAATAGGAGAGAATGGATACCAGGCACTTAGATTGCTCACCTGGCATAAATCAAGATGAATCTCCAACTAAATCAACAAGTAAAGGACATATTTTCTGCTCCCTCCCACCATTTTCTGTGCAGCTCTATTTAGCATTCAATTCACAAAGATTTTCATACTCAAGATACTTTAAAAACCACTAATAACCCCCAACAATCCTGTGAGGCATCTAAAGTAGTATGCTAATTTTAAATTGGGAAAACTGAGGCAGAAAGATTAGATTATTTGCCATAATTGCAAACTGTGTAAGAGTAGTTTTTAGAACTCAAATTTTTAGCTCCCTCAACTGCAGTGACATCTCAGCAAAATGGAGGGTTGAGGCCACTTGATTCAGAATTTTTCAAAGATAGCTACATAAAAAGAGCTATCTTTTCTCCAAATTCTGGAAAATTTGGATGTGTGGAAAAAATAAAGAGCCCAAAATGCAACTTCCAGTACATTTGTCCCTTTCTAGGTCATTAGCAATTTGACCAACAACTTCTCCTCATTTGTTAAACTATCCCTGTTGAAACAGCACATCTAATTGCTTCACATTGGATAATGGATGTCTTGTTTCAGCACTGCCTAACAGACTACTCATGCATTAATGACAATTACCCAAATGTGTAAAGATACATGCCACGTCTAAAAGAAACAAGCTATAGCATACCCAGCAGATACATCACACTAGGGTAAACACCCGGAAATACAAGCCATCTAAAACTTTGATTTCAACACTGCAGGTAAGTGTGTTTGCCTTGTTTTTCCTTCAGGCAAATATTTCATCAGAAAGTTCCACAGCAAGAGCTTTTGGTCTAAACCAAAAGTCATCCTCAAAAAACTCCTTTACATCTCCTTGTCTATAAAACAGGCAAACCTGATCAGAATTTTTCAGACAATATTTGAAAAGCTTAGTACAAACAAAGTCTGGTAATATACAAGGTGAAGGACATACAAATTCTGGATAAACTGGGTTTTGTGGTTTTTTTGGTAATACCACAACAATTTAGTAACTCTTTTAGATACATAGGGACAAGATTTTATACAAAAGTATTTTGACAATTTCTGGAATATTTCGCTCA